TGTATTACAGTCTCATGTATAGCTGTAGCTACCACAGCACAGCCTTCATTGGGCGTTCTATGGTGGTGAGTTTTGTTAAACATCGTATTAGCAGTTTTACTGGAAGAGCTCATGAGTAACAGCTGGTAAAAATGTGCTGCAAGTTTGCGGAGTTTGCTTTATGAGGTGATAAGGAGATGCTCTCATGAGCTGGAAAAGCACTCAGCCAGCAGATTTTGAATGGTTCAGTGCCAAAACTCCCTGGATAAAAAAAAAGCGTTTTGAATTTGGAGGTGCGCCGATCATAAACGTTTATATTCTGATTTCTTAATAAACTGATTCTTTGGTCAATTTTTATGTGCATTAAAAAAGTACCTGAAGCTCAAACTATGTGGGATAAATGAACACATGAAAAGCACATTTCTACTATTTCCCATTTGCCATATATAAACATCATTGCTGCTTTTTAATGAAGTAATTTTTCTGACTTTTGCCTATTTAAATAAAATGAATCATGGATGAAGCTCAATGAGACATTAGAGCAATAAGCCACGAGAGGCCGTGGGTTACTGTGATTTTACCACAGGGAAGGCTGTTCTTTGGCACGACGTGAAGTGGAGTAAAACTCCCTTCCGCATGATAAAATCGTAGCACCTACTGCCTCGAGCGGCTTATTGCTTTAATAAAACGGCGGCCAACATAAAATAGCACAATGTTATTATTAATAATAACCGACATAAACAAGTATTCCGCCAAGAAACGTAGTTCCTTTAGAGTATGGTATTGTTGCTAAGCAACCACTGACCGCTGAATGAGGAACAAAACGTTCGGTCACCAATCACTGTAAACTGCATGTAACTCATGTAACAGTGAACATATGATAACAGCACTGTTTAATGCAAAATACTTTCAGTTTATAAGAACTTTTTGGTCACTAAATCACCACCCCGAGTCGTCTGCCAGTCTGACGACGCCACTTTTCTCAGGCTGGGGCTGAATCTCAAACGGCTCCCTGCACCCTACATAGTGCACTACGTAGGAGTTTAAATACTGACTCCTGCAGCCCAACAGAGCAAAATATCACTAAAAATGGTCATTTGGGATTCATCCACATTCAGACTCGACAGGCAGTCACTATTAAACAGCAGAAGCTAGAATTTTTAAACTTAATGTTAAACAGCTCAGGATTTAGCCAAGGAGTACGGAGCCGTTTGGGGACCTGGGTTTGATGCGACTTCTGACTGGAACACGGACATTCAGGTGACGTTCTTTAGACTTTTATAGTGCTGTTTTTCAGTAAATCATATCATAAGTACTTTAATTCAAGCCTGTGATATTAATAATGATGGAGCTGGTTAGCCTGTTTGCTCTCTTTTAGCCTGTTGGCTAGCTGACCAGCCCAGTTCTAGTTAAGAAAATAAGTTATCAGCCCCTCAGTTTAAACTAACAGGTTCTTACTTCATCAGTGCACTCGGTGCTCCGTGTGATCAGCATTAGAGTCAAAGATTAATCCATTAACAGCAGAAGGGTTTTTTGTGCCGTAGCGCAGTGATACAGAGTTCAGTTGCTGTGAGGCGGTCAGAGCCGTGGTATATCGTGGATTTTACAACAGCTTCGAACGCGGCTCAGCCAATCAGATTTCAGGACCGGAACGATCTGTTTTATAAATATGATTGTACTACGACAGGTACAGGTGTAGCAGCACCCAAATACAGCGTGTATGCCCTCCACCTGCCTCTTACCTGCCTCACTTTTTTAAGACAAGGGTTCCACATGAATGCAACGAATTACATTAACACATTTATTACCAAACGTAATAACCTAATAACAGTTGTAGTTGGGCACAAACGTTTGGCACAGTGTGGCTGTCGCTTTACATCACTTTATGTTTTGTTTTGTTTTGTGTTGTTTGTATGTTTTGTTGTTTCCCCGCTGGTTGAGGGTTTTGCCTTCGCATCCACTGAGATAGTGGCCGGGAGTGCCACTACCCATGGCTTCTACCCATGGGTAGAAATGGTTCACTACCATTTTCTACCCATGGCTCTGAGGCTTATTGGTCTGGCCGTTGCTACATCACATCTCTAATGCAGGCTGGACTGGGCCCTTGACTGACTCTGTATTGCGGCTATGAGGCCGTCTGGACCGTTCGGCTGTTTGACCCTATATTGCAGGTACGTGTCTGCCTGGACCGGCTGCTTTGATGAGGCCGCACTGCAGCTGTGGGACTGCCTGGACCTTGCAACTATGTGACCGCCCGCTACACCATAGTTTGTAAGCCCCCCCAGGCTAACTGAGACCTTCCTCCGGAGCTAGGGATGCTTTTTGGGCTGGCTAAGTGATTTTATCCCCTGAGTCTGCCTTGGGAACTCTGCATGTGTGTGCTGTTTTATTCATTGTTGATTACGTATTTTGTTACTTTTGTGTCTGATTGTAAAGTGTCCTTGAGCGTGGGAAAGGCGCTGATGATAATGATGATGATGATGATGATGATGATGATGATGATAAAAGCTTGACTAAGTAATGACAGATAGTGTAATAGTTGCTAAGCAGTGATTGAAAAAGAAAACAAAGCAGACATTTACAAACGATGTGGAGATTCAGGATCGTGAAACAGACAAAGTTAAAAATTAGTTCATTTTTTTGTGGAGTTGCTAGTAAAACTCCCACTGTGAGTCAAAGTTAGACTGTGGGCCCAAATTAGATGTCAACTTACTACACTGTGTTCTTTGAGCTCACTCATTCTGTGGACACTAGATCATCCAACTCAAACTCCAGTTCTAAGTTAGCTAAACAATGCAGTTCAGGTCAGGACGGCTCTGAGCATCACCAGGGTTTGAACACATGATCTCTTGATAATGGGGCAGCCTCTGATACTGCTTAAACTTCTGACCTGAAATAATTACTACACTGTGAAAAAGATTTGTTGTTTTAACTGTAAAAAGAAAGAAACATGGCTGACTCAAGAGTGTTAGTTTACTGAACATCGATGTTGTTTTGTTAAATTACTTTTTGATGTTCAATGAACTCAAAGTTTTAGGTCAGATACAAATAAACTGAAGTGAAATTGCAAAACAGATATATTTAAGTTTTTTCTAACTAATGTTTTCTAATTAATGTCTTAATGAGTATTGAGGTGGATTGTGTTGGACTAAAATTAACATATTAAACCAATATTTGTCAAAAAAAACAAATTTATGTAAAAAAATGCTATATAGGTTAACAGATTAATTGTTTTTTTACACTGATTTTCACAATAATATACGTAATTAATCCTTCCTGCTGATTTGTGATATTTGCACATATAAATGTTTAAATTTGACCATTGTGAAATATTTTCTAGATCACTGTACCAGCACACTTCCGTCATACACTTCTGCCTCCGCTTTGGCTGTTATAGGTTATATATCCCAAAACCAGTCACTGATTCTTTCATCTGTTAGAATTAAACAGGCTGTTTTTGACTGTGCGTTTAAAACTGATATATGTCAATAAGCTCTGTTCTGATTGGCCTGGATGGTACTGTATGAACATCATACAATACAGGCCAATCACTGCACAACACTGCTTATAGCTTCAGCATGAAGCATGAATGGGCGGGGCTAAACTGCTCCAGGTAGGTTTTTGAGCAGGTAAAGCGTCTGCAAAGTCACAAAGCTTTTCTCAGCTGCCTGAAATGCCCCGATGGAATTCCAGCCCTTTTCCTTTGTTACAGGATGATGTCATCACGTAACACAGTCCTTACTGCCTGCCTACCAGCGAGCTCCACCCCCTCACACAGCGCACAGTGGCTACTGCAGGAGGAAGAGTGTGTTCAGTGCTGTAGTGTGTGGAGAAGATGCTGACCAGACTTTCGGGATCCACTCTGGATCAAACTGATACAGCAGAACCGACGCAGCTGGAGAAACAGCCACAGTGGAGTTTACAGCTGCTCAGGAGAGAAGGGTCTGTCTGCAGACTGCAGGACAGGGGCGGAACGTGAAGGGGCGGAACCATTCTGGAGGCTAACCGATCAGAACAGAGTGGGTGAGCTGACCAATCAGAGATGAACAGTATAAGGAAAATAATGGGTTTCTGGAATTCTGGAACATTAAGCATGTGAATCTGTTCTACACCACAAAAATAAAATTATAAACACTGAAAATCAGCATAATAGTTCACCTTTAATACAGATCTCTGTGAGAGGAGGGGGGGGGCAGTTTGGCCCAGATTCTCTTTTGTGTATTTACAGCGTATTTAAGTGAGTTGTACAGTTTGGGGGACGGACGCGTCCAACTTCTTCATTTCGGTGCGTCCGGCCAAAAATAGGAGTCAGAGCAGCCAAAAGGAGCTTCAGAGAGATTTTTAATTTACAGGTCTGAAATGTTTCTGGCTCAGCATGACAAATGACGAGAGAGAGAGCGAGAGAGAGAGAGAGAGAGAGAGAGAGAGAGAGAGAGAGAGAGAGAGAGAGAGATGAAGAAGGAAAAAGAGATAGTAGGAGAGAGAGAAAGAGAAGGAAGAAAGAGACAGAAAAAAGAAAAGGGACAGAGAGAAAAAGGGAAAGAGAGGGAAAGGGGGTGGAGTAAGAGAGAGAGAATAAAAGAAAGAGAGAGAGTAAGAGAGAGAGGGGGAGTAAGAGAGCAAGAGAGAGATAGATAGAGAATAAGAGAGAAGAGAGAGAGAGAATAAGAGATAGGGAGAGAGAGAAGGAGAGAGGGAGAGGAGAAGGAAGAGAGTGAGAGAGCGGGAATAAGAGAATGAGAGAGAGAGAAAGAGAGAGAGAGAGAGAGAGAGAGAGGGAATAGGAGAATAAGAGAGAGGGAGAGAAAGATAGAGAGACAGAGAGAGTTAGAGAGAAAGAGAGAGAGGGGAGGAGGAAGAGTGTGAGAAAAAGGGAATAAGAGAGTAAGAGAGAAAGAAAGAAAAAGAGATAGAGAGAGAGAGAGAGAGGGAATAAGAAAATAGAGAGAGAGAGAGAAGGAGGGAATAAGAGAATAAGAGAGAGAAAGAGAGGGAGGGAGGGAGGGAGGGAGGGAGGGAGGGAATCCTGGTGTGAGTAGAGTTGCATGTGCTCAGTCTGGTTCTCTCTTTGTGCTGTAAAGGCTGCTTCCTGGAATCGGGCGTCTCTTCTGCCTCTCGGAGTCTCTCAGCTCCACTATCAGGAGCGAACAGACGTCCACGCTGAGGAGATGAGCTCGAGCGTGTTTCCACTCCTCTGTCAGATGTAGCCGCGTTCTGGAGCAGGACAGCGCTGAGTCCGGTAAGACAAACTTCTACTGCTATGAATACAGTCAGTGTGTGTTCAGTCACTTCAGAGCGAAACCTCACAGCTCTGAAATACAGACTTTACAGGAGAAGAAAAACGTTCTTAACTTTAACACACGTTAATCTATCAACAGTTCACACTCAGGGATGAGCTGATATGATGCTCTCCGCATCGGTATCGGCAGGAGACAATGGCTGCATAAAGGTTCTGCAAAACTGCTGTCAGAACCAAACACCACCATAAATCTAGACAATATAACTAGTGTTTTTTACTGTAATATTATTGTAAATCATTAGTATTTTTTATGTAGAGAAATTGTCCAGATTCTATTCATTGTCTTATTATAGTGGTAAACAATTTTGCTTGTTATTATCTGCATTGTATTCTGAAATAAGCAAAATGATCTGAGATTATCACAATTTCTCCAGAGAAAATTACCTAAAACAAGTAACAGTCTACATATAAATTTAAAAATGTAGAATTTATAATTCAGTAACTTTACATGCCAACAACTTTTGCAGTGTGATTAGTCTGACCATGATAGGCTTCTTTTAAACACTTAGATTCGTACATAAAGTGCTTTAATTAAAAATAGCTCTTAAAAGGAAAAAAGTATAAGTTTAGTATACTTTTTCCCCCAATACTGATATCGAAACCTTGAGTACCAACCAATACCAGTACTGAAACCTTGAGTACCGACCAATACCAGTACTGAAACCTTGAGTACCAACCAATACCAGTACTGAAACCTTGAGTACCAACCAATACCAGTATCGAAACCTTGAGTACCAACCAATACCAGTACTGAAACCTTGAGTACCAACCAATACCAGTATTGAAACCTTGAGTACCAACCAATACCAGTACTGAAACCTTGAGTACCGACCAATACCAGTACTGAAACCTTGAGTACCGACCAATACTATTACTGATAACTTGAGCACTGGCTGATACAGATATGGAAACTGTGAGAAATGACCAATACCAGTACTGGAACGTTGAGTACAAGCTGATACTGATACTGGAACCTTAAGTATTGACCAATGCCAGTATTGAAATCATGAGTACCAGCTGATACTGATACTGAAAACTTGAGTATCAACCAATACCAGTACTGAAGTACTGAAAGCTTAAGTATCAACCAATACCCATATCGGTCGATACAGATATCAGAACCTTGAGTATTGACTAATACCAGTACTACCACCTTGAATATCAACCAATACCAATACTAAAACCTTGAATGTCGACCAATACCAGTACTGAAACCTTGAGTATTGACCAATACCAGTATTGAAACCTTGAGTACTAGCTGATATGGATTTTGCCATTTTGAGTATCGGCCGATACGGATATTGAATCCTTGAGTATTGACCAATTTCAGTACTGAAACCTTGCGTATTGACTGATAGTCAAGGTTTCAATATTGGAATCAGCAAAGGATAAAACTGTATCAGGCCATCTCTGATTACAATACTAGTAACTAATTACTGGCCATTTTTATTGGTCTATTCATCATAAAATGTTCACATCATATAAAGGGCATGTTTTAAATGATAGAAAGACACAAAACACTGAAAACATGGGGACCAAGGTTTTAAAATGACAGATGATTTCTTTTATTGCGTATTCTGGTTTAGGCAAAAGTGTCAGTGACAGCCTATAGAGAGTAAACGATCAGTACAGACATGCACATGCATTTAATCCTGAGGCATTTCCTTTAAGACGCTTGCTGTTTGCTGTGTGTGTGTGTGTGTGTGTGTGTGTGTGTGTGTATGTGTGTGTGTGTGTGTGTGTGTGTGTGTGTATGTGTGTGTGTGTGTGTGTGTGTGTGTGTGTGTGTGCGTGTGCGTGTGCGTGTGTGTGTGGTGTCAGCGTTCAAAAGATCACTCCCGTGTCAAGCCCGTCAGAGTTTCCCATGCCCCCCGTGTCTGCAGCTTTGCCAAACGAAACACAAACGGAGGCTTTTCGGCTTCGCTTTTCCCTTAGTGGCAGAAAGTCAGGACACAATGCCATGGGATTCTGTAAGCACTGTACGGGATTGGCAAAACTTCTCTTTAAACTTGGATCCTCCATCCTAGATCTGGGATTATTGTTTATTTTCTTTCCTCCTAACTGGCACGTGCGCTTGGAAAATCATAAGGTAGGATATTTCAGGAGACAGAGAACGACAGCAGTGGGACAGCTGGTCAGACAGCACTAGAACATTCAATGTGCAGATATGTTTTACAAATGGCTTCTCAGCAGATTTGGAACAAAAATTTCATTTCAGTCTTTTAATCTTCTGTAAAGAAAAGGTTATTTTACCGCTGTTGATTATGTATGCTAATGACCACCACTCTTATTGGCTGTCTTAAAGGAAGTGGTGGGTTATGGGGTACAGTTCATGCAAGTCTGAGTCTCGAGTCTCTGAGAGGTAAGTCTGAGTCTTGAGACTCTAAGATGTGAGTCTGAGACTTGAGTCTTAGAGGTGTGAATCTGAGTCTTGAATCTCTGAGGTGTGAGTCAAAGTCTAGAGACTCTGGGGTATAAGTCTAAGTCTTGAGTTTCTGAGATATGAGTCTGAGTCTTGAGTCTCTGAGATGTGAGTCTGAGTCTTGAGTCTCAGAGGTGTGAGTCTGAGTCTTGAGTCTCTGATGTGTGATTCTGAGTCTTGAGTCTCTGAGGTTTGAGTCCGAGTTTAGTCTCGAGTCTCTGAGGTGTGAATCCATGTCTCGAGTCTCTGAGGTGTGAGTCTCAGTCTTGAGTCTCTGAGATATGAGCCTGAGATGAATCTCAAGTCTCTGAGGTGCAAGTCAGATTCGAGTCTCTGAGGGGCAAGTCTGAGTCAAGTCTCGAGTCTCTGAGGTGTGACTCCAAGTCTTGAGTCTGAATTTGAATCTCGAGTCTCTGGGTTGTGAATCTGATTCTCAAGGCTCTGGGGTGTAAATCTGGATCTCAAGTCTCTGGGGTGTGAATCTGGATCTCGAGTCTCTGGGGTGTGAATCTGGATCTCAAGTCTCTGGGGTGTGAATCTGGATCTCAAGTCTCTGGGGTGTGAATCTGGATCTCGAGTCTCTGGGGTGTAAATCTGGATCTCAAGTCTCTGGGGTGTGAATCTGAATCTCGAGTCTCTGAGGTGTGAATCTGAATCTCGAGTCTCTGAGGTGTGAATCTGGATCTCGAGTCTCTGGGGTGTGAATCTGAATCTCGAGTCTCTGAGGTGTGAATCTGGATCTCGAGTCTCTGGGGTGTGAATCTGGATCTCGAGTCTCTGGGGTGTGAATCTGGATCTCGAGTCTCTGGGGTGTAAATCTGGATCTCAAGTCTCTGGGGTGTGAATCTGGATCTCAAGTCTCTGGGGTGTGAATCTGAATCTCGAGTCTCTGGAGTGTGAATCTGAATCTCGAGTCTCTGAGGGGCAAGTCTGAGTCAAGTCTCGAGTCTCTGAGGTGTGACTCCAAGTCTTGAGTCTGAATTTGAATCTCGAGTCTCTGGGTTGTGAATCTGATTCTCGAGTCTCTGGGGTGTAAATCTGGATCTCGAGTCTCTGGGTTGTGAATCTGAATCTCGAGTCTCTGAGGTGTGAATCTGAATCTCGAGTCTCTGGGGTGTGAATCTGAATCTCGAGTCTCTGAGGTGTGAATCTGAATCTCGAGTCTCTGAGGTGTGAATTTGAATCTCGAGTCTCTGGGTTGTGAATCTGATTCTCGAGGCTCTGGGGTGTAAATCTGAATCTCGAGTCTCTGAGGTGTGAATCTGAATCTCGAGTCTCTGAGGTGTGAATCTGAATCTCGAGTCTCTGAGGTGTGAATTTGAATCTCGAGTCTCTGGGTTGTGAATCTGATTCTCGAGGCTCTGGGGTGTAAATCTGGATCTCAAGTCTCTGGGGTGTGAATCTGAATCTCGAGTCTCTGAGGTGTGAATCTGAATCTCAAGGCTCTGGGGTGTAAATCTGGATCTCAAGTCTCTGAGGTGTGAATCTGAATCTCGAGTCTCTGAGGTGTAAATCTGAATCTCGAGTCTCTGAGGTGTGAATCTGAATCTCGAGTCTCTGATGCCTTAATGGTCTTGTAAGTACATAATTGAGTTAACTTTTTCAAATTTGCATTTGTATTTGAATAAAGTCTGGAATATACTGCAACTTTTGAGGGCTCAGATGGAAAAAGGACTTTTTAGAGTCTTGGAACTTTCACTTGTGCTGCCCCGGAGAATAATAGCATTGAGGCCAGTTGTGAAGTACACGTGTACAGTAATGTACGCTCTGCAAGATGACAGATGACCTCTAATGGAGCTCTTGGTCATGCTCTAATTCAAACCAGTGCTTGCAAAAACAGGCAGACTCCATCACCTTCTGAGAGCAAGTTCTCTGAAGCAGCCGCACATGAGCCATGCACAGTGCCAATTAGCTCAGCAAGGTAGTTGCACATGGCAAGTGAAGTCATCTCGAATCTGACCGATATATCTAATGTTTCTCATTCTGAGATTGTGATAAGAATATTATAAGCTTATTTTAACTTGTTTTACTTGAAAGAGAACTCCTCTGATTTTATTCACACATAACTCAGTGTGTGAGATGTAATCAGAGTGATTCTGAGTGGTTTGGTGTGAAATGGTTCAGATGTCTTTACAGTGGTGGTGATAGGAACCAGGGGTCACCATGACTACAACACAAATATAGACATTTTATTTACTATCCAGAACCACCAGTGAACCTACACGAGTCTTCTGAGTTTATATGGAATGTTGATGATGGAAAATAGTGGAAAATCTGAAATAATCAGTTTTCTTTGACTTACTCCGGCTTGCATGTACCTCCTGGCCATGAGCAGATTTTTAAAACGTGTGTTTTATGCCAAAACGTAAACCATAACACAATGTCTTAGGGACCAGGCATACAGGCATACATACATACATACATACATCTAAACCGCTTATCCTTCTGGGTCGCGGTGGGGTGCTGGAGCCTATCCCAGCTGTCATTGGGCGGAAGGCTGGATGCATCCTGGACAGGT